AGTTGGCCTTGCGATCTAGTTCATCCGGTGTTTCTCAACCTGGAGAAGCTGGGTGGACTTCAACTCCCAGAATTCCTCAGTTGGCCTTGCGATCTAGTTCATCCGGTGTTTCTCAACCTGGAGAAGCTGGGTGGACTTCAACTCCCAGAATTCCTCAGTTGGCCTTGCGATCTAGTTCATCCGGTGTTTCTCAACCTGGGCAAGCTGGGTGGACTTCAACTCCCAGAATTCCTCAGTTGGCCTTGCGATCTAGTTCATCCGGTGTTTCTCAACCTGGGCAAGCTGGGTGGACTTCAACTCCCAGAATTCCCTGGCCAGCAAAGAATCCTGGGAGTCGAAGTCCACCCATCTTCTACTACTTGCGCGAGGTTAGGAAACACGCTGTTGTTGTCCCTGTCCCAAGATTTGGGGGCTCCCCCAATGGGACCCTTGGATCCCTCCGGAAGCCCCCAGGAGATTATCCCTCTGCCATTGCAGGAGAACCGGAGTTCCGCTACGTGGCCGGCATGCACGGCAACGAGGCGCTGGGCCGGGAGCTGGTGCTCAACCTGATGGAGTATCTCTGCCAGGAATACAGGCAGGGCAACCCTCGCGTCCGGAGGCTGGTCACGGAGACCCGAATCCACCTGATGCCCTCCATGAACCCGGACGGCTACGAGACGGCCTACAAGCTGGTGGGTGGCACCGTGTGTGTGTGTGTGTGTGTGTGTTCCCCGGGGCTGTTTAGGAAGCAAACCTTGTCTGAATCGAAAGGGGGGGGAGGGTAGCTAGAAGATCTTTCTTTTTTTCTTTTTTTTCTTTCTCTTTCTTTTGCTTTCTTCTTTCTTTCTTTCTTTCCTTCTTCCACTTTTTTCCTTCCTTTTTTTCTTTCCTTCCTCCTTCCTTTTTCTTTTTTTTCCTTCCTCCCTCCCTCTCCCCCCTCCTACTTCCTCCCTCCCTGATTCCTTCCTTTCTCTTTCTTTTTTTCTTTCTTTTCCTTCCTCCCTCCCTCCCTCCCCTCCTACTTCCTCCCTCCCTGATTCCTTCCTTTCTCTCTTTTCTTTTTTGTTTTTTCCTTCCTTCTTCCTTCCTTCCTTTTTCTTTCTCTCTTCCTCCCTCTTTTTCTTTTCCTTCCTCCCTTCCTCCCTCTCTTCCCTCCTACTTCCTCCCTCCCTGATTCCTTCCTTCCTTTCTCTTTCTTTTTTCTTTCTTTTCCTTCCTTCCTCCTTCCTTTTGTTCCTCCCTCCTTTCCCTCCCACCTCCCTCCCTCCTTGCTTCCTTATCTCTCTCCTTTCCTTCCTTCCATCTTCTTTTTCCTTCCTTCGTTCGTCCCTCCCTCCCTTCCCCTCCCTTCTTCCTTCCTCACTGCTTCTTTCCTTTCTTTTTCTTTCTTTCTTTCTTTCTTTCTTTCTTTTTCTTTCTTTCTTTCTTTCTTTCTTTTTCTTCCTTCCTTCATCTTTCTTTTTCCTTCCTTCCTTCCCAGTTAAAAACTTACACTTTAGCCCCCACTCTAACCCCCACTCTGTGGCACCAACAACAGAATCGATCCTCTCCGAATGGGGTCCCCAGCCCCATTGAACCAAACCAGCCTTCAAAGCTTTGGGGAAAAGCAGCCAGGCGGTCGCCAATCTGATCTCTGGGGAAGGACCTTCCATAGGGAGGGAGCCACCACCGAGAAGGCCCCGTTCCCACGTCCCTCCAGATGGACTACCTTGGTAGCTGAGACCCACAACACCTCCTGCTTTCCCGCTTTGGGAAGGAGGATATAATTGGGGAGTGGGTTACCGACCTCCCCAGGCCGGTCCATCCGGTGGGGGGCACTGAGCGGATTCTCCATCCTCTCCTTTCTCTGGCGACTCTGCAGGGCTCGGAGCTGTCCGGCTGGGCACTGGGCCGATGGACGTACGAAGGCTTTGATCTCAACCACAACTTTGCCGATCTCAACACGGACCTTTGGGATGCCGAGGACCTCCAGCTGGTCCCCCACCAGTTCCCCAACCACTACATCCCCATCCCGGAGGCGTACACCTTCCCCAACGCCACGGTGAGCCCCGCCCCCGGTGCCCCCTGGGCGGTGGGTTGCCCACCATGCCCAGCTCCCTCCATCTTGGCGTCTCTACTCCTCCCC